GGACTTGCAGTTGATCATGTTGGCAAAAGCCAACATGCTACATTCAAAGAATTTCTGTTTCTCATGTTCCTCGATTCTGGCTGGCTTCTCTTCTGCCTGTTGCACAGCACTGGAGTTTGTTCACAAGAGATTCTCTTCTGGTCAATTACTTCCACAAAATAAATGTGTCCATATTTTTCCATGTATCATCATTGAATGTGCTCATAACTACAGAGAATTCAGACACCCCATGACAGTTATGTATAGTGAGAACAATAAATGTGACTATGACTTTTTAGCATTGTGAACAGTAAAATTTTGTCCATTTCACAAGCTTTCTGTCTTGAAAATTGCAAAGGAAAAAATTTCCTTTGTGATAGCACAGTAGAAAGCTATTTATATATTTCCTTTCTTCTGCATTACGCTTTATTGACTCTGACCTGCTATGGCATGAAACCACGTGGAAAAGGAGTAGGGAGATAGTCCCTTTGCCAAGGGAATTGACAGAAGAAGGCATGAAGTGAACAGAGTCTGTAACTGTGCCAGAAGCCAGAAAACTTGTCCTGGTTATAATTCTCCTCTCCCCAGTTTGTCAAAGAGCTATAAGTACAAGGATCTTAGTAGTCATCTCTAAAGGAGTCCAGAATTAAAAAGGCTGGTATGTGACAGCTGGGAAGATTTATGAGGTTTATGAAATTTAGGGAGTAATTCCTTTCAAAGATAACAACGATAGACAGGCCAAATTTATAATGTCACTCACTTTTTTTTACATGGGACTGGGAAACAGACAATACAGGTTCTAACTCCAGCCCTCTAACAGAGCTCCAATATGATGCTGATCAAGTCACTCCTCCTCTTCAGGCAGTGCCCTGGCTTCACTGAGTTATTGGGGCCAGAATTTCACTTCTTGTATTTCACATGGAGGGAAGCAGTGATCAAATGAACTTCTCACCTGAAGAGAAATACTGCAAGTTACCCATAAAATTCAAGTACATTATAGAACAGCAAAACCACGTTGGCTAAAAATACACAAGAAACTTCAGAAAGGAAAATCTGATAAGGTTCTTTTGTGTTCACCCCATTTACTCTTCCTGTCCAGGGTCTGCTGTTCACATAAATTCTTCACCATTATGTGCTTGATTCCAGTAGGACACACTCCTGAAAACTGTAGTTTTATTATTCATCTTGATTCACTGACCTCCACAACAGGAGACATAAGCAGCTCATGCACCGTCTCCATTTTTAATTGGCTTGAGAATCAGTTTGTTATGTGGTATCATATATTCATTCACTCTAAAGCAGTTTCTTTGAAAAAGGACTTTTGCCATCTGCAGCTATTGGGATCCACCTCATTTAGCAGTAGCTCATTTCCCTCTGCTCCATGTTATGCTGTAGCGTTGGGCCTTGTGGGTGCCTACTTCTCTTCAGGGAGACTCCCAGGATTCACAGCAGAAAACAAAAGTTGGTACTTAGGAATTTGATTCCCGACAGCCAGCAAGTTAAAAGGCATATAAACAAACCAGCAGGAAATAAGACTCCTGCTTATTCCTAATTTCACTTGAGTTCTCCTTCATAACTGTAGTATTTTACAATTGACACTAGGAAATTTTACCTAGCTACTTTCAGACAATTTCTCCAATTTGTCAAAATAAATTTTAATTTTAATGATTTCCTCCAAATCTCTCACAAGGCAGTGATTAAGTCATTAATTTCTAGTTTATTCAAGACATTAAACATAATATCAAGACAGTACACATGATGTCACTTTCCAATTGAGCACCGCACTTAACTAAGAAGAACAGGTTTTGGCCAGCTCTAGAAGGAGTAGCCTGGAGCAGTGTTTGTCCAAACTGCAGTGGCTGCAAATAATAGAAAACTCCCAAAATTATTTGGTTAAAATTTAGATTTTTTTTGTTTTCCCTGAGTCTAGCTATTCAGACTAGAGCCTAGACTCTATGATCGGTTCTGACAATGACCTAACTGAGTATTTTTTTCAGATTTTCATTAGTGGATTTAAAATTTCCTCCATGCTTTCACTTTTGGCTTCAAATGTACAACTCTGTGCAAAATATTATTTTTATGCTCACTGAATATGATATATAAATCATCACTTAACTGCTAAACAGCGACAGCTCCTGATAGCCCAGCTCAATGATGTCTAGAGACTTTTTTGGCACGTTCGTCTTCTGTGGACCAAATCCAGGGTAAATTCTGAAACACCACAATTTCCCCTATGAACAAAGAAGAGAGCGTCAGTTATCTCCTACCCTCTTGGACACGGCCGAAAGGCACAGCTTGCCCACACCTCTTTGCATTCCAGTGGCACACCGACACTGTCTTCACAAAGCCTTTGCTGTGAATCACACACACAATTGGCATCTAACGTCCTAGAAGAGAAGCAATATGGCCCAACCCAAGCACTTACCCACTCTCTAATCATCCATTTCAATAGTTCTGTGATTTGTCACTGGAACTTGGCATAATATCCGGAGTGCATCATCTGACATCAGTTATTTTTCCACATTGACAGCCAAATGGACACTTACGTGTATACTGAGAGAGAGGGAGGGAGGGAGAGACTCAGGCTTCAAAGAGTTAATTTAAAGCAGCTTCTTTGCCGAAGTTTTCCGTGTTATCAATCTTTCTTCAGTTTTCTGAGTAGCCTTTTAATCTCTGCATTTCTACCCAAAGATCAAAGCCTTCCTATTTCTTAAACAGCTAACCTTACATTATGGTTAATCCATGAAGCGCCAGGTTTTGAGAGAGCCATATGTTGAACAGTCTGCAGGTTCTTGGGCAGATACCCAAAATTACGACATCTCTGAAGAAGGCTGAGCTGACTCTGTGGCTGAACTGACTTCGGGGAAGCTAGGAAAGGTGTTGGGGCAAGCACAAAAATCTAACCACTTGTTAAAAAGAGCTTGAACAGGGTTTCGTGAGGCGTGTCAGGATGTTCAAATTGTGTTAAGATGACTACATAGGGGGAAGTACTTTTTTAAGGTTAGCACAGAAACATCTGTCCCCAAAGTCATTTGCTCATGGAAAAAAAAGGAGTTACAGTAAAGAGCAGAGATCTCAAGTTGGGGAGGGTAAATTCAGAAATCTGCCTTATTTCCAAAAGCATGAAAACTGTACATCTTTCTGCACTTGAACTATTCATGCTCATTGTATGAGTAATCTTAGCACAGATGTTTCAGAAATACTTTTAGACTGGATAGGATATGAGTGCAAAAGAACAAAGCATTTAGCTTGTTTGGTGGCCAAAGCAAAGAAACGCTAAATTTGCCCCTTGTTGATCAGTCAAAAATATTTAAAGTGTTCATTTCTGTAACAGTTAATACCAAAACTAATACAGCAAACACTTTAGCATGTGGATAACCAAACTGTTACGTCACTGCTATATTGGATCTAATCTGGAAGCCTTCTTTCTGTGTGATTAGGCAGTGCACAGAGATTTCAGTTGCTCTTGTTTGGTCTTATGCACGTTTTTGCCTAGATGATACAGTAAATTGACGGTGCACCTGGAGAAAAGCTGGCACCACAGCTGACTGAAACTACTAGGGATCATAGAAAACTTTGCCCGCCAGTGGTGTTGCTGTGCACAGTTCAGAAACATTACAATTCAACAGCAAAGGACTGAGCTATTGAGTTGAACATTTTGTTAATAGCATTTTCAATGCCTCAGTTTTTCTTCAGAATTCACCAGACTTAAGCCAGCAAGAAATTCTTGGTTCATTGCTTCCTTTCTCATAGTACTTTGGTTATAGGTAGTGGAAGGAAAACCATCTGAATCAAGAAAATAAGAAAATAAAATTTTACTCCTACTTGTTCTTTAAGGGAATGATCTAGATCTGTTGAATTTAGTGGAGAGACTCTGACTGCCTTTAAAAGGTTTAATTCAAGCTTTTAAAAAAATTTTTTAAAACTTCTTTGTGACAACAACAGATCAATAAAAAAATTAGGAAAAATGAAGTTCTCTATTGATTTCGGCAGAGGGAACCACCATAAGATCCTTTATAATCTCTCTACATGTTTATTCATAACATATGTCACAGTGGGAATATGCTAGACGACTTCCAAATTTAAACTGGTTAAAGATCCTTTAGGGGGTTCCTGATTATTATTTGTATGATCTCACCAAAACAGATGATGTAGTATCAATAGTAATGGAATTATCACTTAATAGATTACTATTGAATTGTCAGGACAGTAGGTTATGTTCTTCTCTGGAGATAACTTAAAGTGTATTGTTCAAGAAAATTTCCAATGAAAATTAAAACCAAGTAATCTCTATTCCAAAACTGAAAGAGAAAATCCAGCAAACGCAGCAAATATTATAGTACACTCAAGACATATAGAAATTGGACAAAATAGTGCAAGAGCCATAAATGATCAATACAATAGCCGAAGTATTATAAAAAACTGTCTTCCCATAGTTTCATTTAAATATACAATCAGAAAGCTATTTTCCTGGCTTATCTCCCTTTTCTCTTTCTCCATCTTTTTCTCCCCTTTTCCATCTTGTCACTGAAAAAAGGTGTTGAAAAGAGAATAGAAAGAGAAGAATACTGGAGAGTGTTATTTGAATGCAAAAACAATGTTTAAAAAACTGCAACATTTTTAGACAATTATTTTCTAGGAATCACTGTTTTAGAAGCAGGTGTGTCTCTAGGCAGGCTCTGCAGTCAAGGAATTCTGAGACCCTTGGAGAAGCACCATTACGGAAGTCACTAAGAGAAAGGATACCTTGATATATGTGCTTATGCACATATCATCAGGTTAATTAAAGACCCTATGTCTTATGCCCAACAGACAGGATAAAAAAATGTTAAAAGAAACAATCCCATAACATTAAGAAGTCATTGCCTTCCTCATGGAACATCATAACTGATGAAGCAATTAAGTTTGAAACATTTTAAAATACTTTTGGTCAAATGCATTTGTGCTAAATGACTTCACTCTGACAAAGATCAATTCCTACTCATGAAGACAGTACTCATCTGTACTTCATTTTCTAACAGGCTTTTTCAAGAAATGCTTCATACTGCAGAGCACAAGATGATGAATATCGCTTAGAAGTTACGACTCCTTTGCAGAGGGTTGACTTGTTCATGGGCCAGTTCAACAGTGTCCTGTTGACTTCGATATCTGTCTTCACCAAAGGCAACCTTACAGTTGCTAATCTGGGAACTTCGGAGGGCCGCTTCATGCAGGTAAATATTACTTCCACACCTTCACAATAAAAAAATCTACTGGAGTTTAGCAGGATGGTGACAAGTAAGGAACAGTATTACTCCAGATTAACAGGGCATTCGAAAATTGAAATTGCTCAATAAATAGAGCCTCTGGAATATAAACAAAGTGCCTAATGGAGTATTCAGTAGTTTAAGTGTTTACACGGGCTTTGTGGTTTGGAGCAATGGTTTTGGAGCAAATTCCACTATGAGCTTCGCTTAGTCCAGCTGATTCAGTTCAGAGAGCAGTTTTGGTCCGTACAAACTAGGTTTCTTTCAAAGGACACTAAACTGAAAGCTCTGTCTTGGATAAAGATCAAATATGCCCCAACTCCAGCTGGGGCAGAAAGGTCCGAAACAGAGACTGATTCTTCAAACAGCTTCAGATATATGCTTCATATGGTCATTTGGTCTAGAGGATCAGATTAAACCTAGTTCAAAGAAAAATGCTGAGACAGTTTATAGTGTAAAAGCAGGAGCCTTGGCATTAGTTGTTTCTATACACTGATGCACTCCTCTGGCACCAAATTACTTGCTAATGTACCCATAGCCTATGACTCACAGCTCTAGAATCGAGATTACCTCCTCCTCCACCTACTTTCATGTCTCTCTGAGTGCGTCTTAGATTTTCTGGCTCTTGCTCATTCTCTTCTCACTCTGTTCTTTTGGACAGCAATTCTTCCTGTCCTAAAGCAGGTTTTCCATAATAAGTGGTCAGTCACCCTCCTGAGAAGTCTGTCTCCCTCCACTCTAGACAGGTAGATTACACTACATGACTTCTTTGTAGGTGACTAATGAAATTCAGCCCACCCATAGGGCCAACAATTTTTAAAAACTTGGCAGGCAAAATCAAACATCAGAAGACAAAATACTTGGAAAGTACCAAGGGCTTCCTTTATTCACTCAGCTTATTTCAAGCACTGTCATCCTGCAGTGACCACCTTGGAGAGCTTGGCTACTCCAGCTGGATGTGCATCTGGATCCCTCTTGCACCCAAGGACCTGTGTCCTTTTACTCTGCCAGTATTATTTGTCTTCTGGTGGCCTTCCTGAAGTACTGGCAGTCTTTGGCCCTTCTTGCTCTGTAGGCTGCAGAGTAGTTAGTAGCATTGTCCCTCAACTACCATTAACTGAAACCTGATGAGATTTGCCATCATGAGTTGCTGTGCCCTTCCAGCTTCCCCGTTTCCCAAAACCTTTCATTTTCATCCCTTTCTTCTCTCCCTTCCATCATTCTCTGTCCTTGCGACATATAGTAAGTAGGGTTACATATTGTCCCCAGTATTTGTTAGCTCACGATTGGCACCGTTTTTGGACAAAAGGAATCTTATACCTCCACTTCTGTCTTCTGTACAGATGGGACACAGAACCAATAATGCAAAATCCCTAATGCTCCTGCAGGGAGGGAGGTCAAAGTGATTTACCACAAAAGACAGATGGAAAACTGGAGAAAATCATATTTCTCTTTCTCTCTAAAAGATAAGAATTTAGCAAAATGTTCCATGGCAACCCTGCCAGTTTTACCTGAACTTCACATGATGACCTTGGTAACTTTCAGATGCAGTTTGGCTTCAGCTCAGGAGAGGCAAATGCTAAGAGCTAAGCACTGAGCATAGCAGCAACCTGCGCTCTGTTCTTAGATGTAGATACTGGGTCACACAGCGAACATGAGCAATTTGTTTAACCTTTCTGAAGCCGTTTCCTTATCTGCAAAATACAGTTAATAACCACTACTGTCTTACTCACTGCATTTCTTCTGGGTTGTCACAAAGCTTTTAGGGAGCTTTGGCGGAAAGCGCAAGGCAGCATTACTTTTATTTGTAACATTCTTTAAATTATTCATTCAAGTCCTGAACCACACACTTCATTCAGACATTTGCCCAACTCAAGGAACAATTAAAATATTTCCAGAATACATTTCCCATTCCAGGTTCACTTATGGATCAAAAGAAAGGCTATTGTGTAAACTGCACATTGCCATTAGCAGAAATATTCTCATCATTGAATTAGATTGGCTTGAGCTACAGGGGGAAGTCAGCATTGGGCTCATATTGTAGTAAGTAGGAGCTCTTTCTTTCAGGGCTTGCAGCAACCAGCAAGAGAATAACATACTGGCTACCTTTAACAACACTACCTCCAAATGAAAACATTAGTATATGTTTTGCTTTTAAATGACCTTGAAAGGGATACTAGGTCTGCAGGATACAGAAGACACATTTTTTTGCAGAACTGAATGTTCACTTACATTAAATCTTTATTTTCTTTCAGTAATAGTTATCTAGGAAGTGCTTTCAAACATGTTCATTAGCAAATGTCCCACTAAAGCAGATTTGCAGTGTTTCTATGGAAATCTAGCTATTAACTGCAATGAGATGGAGATCATTAAAAATTGAGCTATTAAATGACCATTACTGAAGTAAAATGGGTTAAAAAAAATCAGGATAATCTCACAATGACTTAATTTATCAAAAGATATGCCCCAAACACTTCCCCACATTTTTTAGCAAAGAAATGTAATGATGTTCTTTTTTGTTCATTCACAAATCTGCTGGAACATATTGCAAAGAATCCTCAGTTTTTCACTTATTACACACCTCACTTTTGCACCGTCATTTGCACTCATATTTTTAGCTTTTTGTGCATGTAAATATTGAATTTTCCTGTGCAATCCCCTTGTAGCTATTCAGAGTTGACTATATCCCTTCAGAGGTAAGTATGCTTTCAAAAAAAAAATTAGTTGCAAAATTCTACCTATCAGCAAACCTGTATTAAAAATGATTATATTGTACTGATAACTTGCAAACATATTTTCATGCCAGCTATTTAAAAGCAAAAGTAGAAAATATTCATACGTAGGTTTCTAACATTAGAAAATCAGCTCAGCCCGTCTAGTGAATCCAGTTCATCTTGTATCCTCTTTGAAATACCAAACCTTACCATATTTAGACAATTTAGTTTGTGACATAAATTTCAGCACTAGCAGTCCTCCATGCAACTAAAAGAAACAGTAGTACAGTACCTCTGTCTCTGTCAACTGCACCTTGAAGTGCCCAAATACGAAACAGCTCGATGAAAGTAATGAACATTTAATTCACATTTTTGCTGCATTAATTTAGGGTTTCCTTTAATTGTTATGAAACATTTTGTGGGGAAAAAAAAGATGTTGAAAACATAGTGATCATGCCACCTAAACTGAATTGAAGCTCCAAGCCTGTGCTGTGGAAGCCAGTAGGTGCAGCAGCAAGCTACTGATATTCAACCTGAGAGAAATTTATTTGGAAATGTTTCTCATATTCTCCCATTATACTTGCTTATACTTGATCAGCACCCAACCACTTGATTCTCCTTCTTTTCTTTCTTTCCTTTCCCTTGCTGTCTTTCATCTCCTTTTGCACTTTCTTCTGCTCACCACTTTCTGCCTTCCTACTGACGCCTCATCTCTGACTGTTTCCATCTCCATCCATTTTTCTCTCTTTACCACATGACTATAGCACAGCATTGCTGCAAAAGTCATCAGAAGGTTTAACATGCAGTTTCTAAGAACAAAGGTTTTCCTTCTGTAGATGATGGCTACCCGATTCTGGAGTTTTGATATATTTAGAGACATATTACAATGAATTGTTCCTATCTTTACACGTGATTCCACTGAAACTTATGGCATTACCCATCAAAACCACGCCAATGACCCAACTCAGAATACAGCCTGTATTTTGATTACATAAAAAAAGTTATCTGAGGAGCCAGTAATTTTCAGACTGCAAAAGCAGGTATGTTTTATCCAATCAAGGAATAATCACCTGTTGTTTTCTGCTTATGCTTTTAGTTCATTTAAATAGAATTATTCACTTAAACAGCTCTGGAAAGCACTAATGCTGGAAAGGAAATAGTGCCTTCTTTGTTAAATGTTTATTTTTTTCAACCAAAATCTAAAACTAAAATCAAATTGATCTGGATGGTCCAAATACAGAAGATTCATGAGTTCTTTTAAGGAGGATAATTGGGGCCAGGAGGTGAATTCCAAAGCTTTCCTGGAGAGTAATTGCAGCCCATTGACATACTGAGCATGTTTTGGCTGCATCAGAAATGTTAAATCTGTATTTGGCCATGAATAGATTGGAGTTTGTAGTTTACCAAATATTGTGGAGTTTCTGTTACAAAACAGAGCAGTAATAATTTTTCTAAGACAGCTGACATGCATGAGACGGAAAAGAAAAATGGTTTTACTTCCTTCCTAAGCTGGAGCCTGACAACAAGCTTTTTTTCAGCCTTCTGTTTTTTTTCTGTTGAGAAGTTGCAGCTGTTTTGGCCTTTCTTATTGTGCTTGTTTTCAGAGTGTGACTGGGAACACAGGCTGAAAGTACAGCTGTTGGGTGCAAAGTGAATCAGGTATTTCACAGTGGTTATTTGATTAGAAAACAGCACCCAGTCACACTGCTATAGCTGAGGAATCAGATTTTCAGCTGGTGTAAAGCAGCCTTACTCTGCTCAAGCCAAAGAAGCTACGCTGACAATACGACTCACAACTGGAAAAGACACTTTCATTACCAGCCAGTATTTTGGGAAATTATAGTTTGTCAAAAGCTAGCCATGATATATTGAGATAAAATATCTTCTATTTTTGCTCAGTTCCAAGGTGATTTTTTTTTTTTTTCCCCTGCCTGAAGCTTGGTATTATTTCAGAGAGTGACGTTTGACTGATGAATTAAAGTGCCTGAAGCTTGGTATTATTTCAGAGAGTGACGTTTGACTGATGAATTAAAGAGCAAAGTTCTTCAGGAAGGGGAAATCTTTCTGATAGCTCCAAGGAGGGTGGAATATGGGAAAGTTTTACAAGATTTATTCTGAAAAGCTCACATTTGGTCTGGCCTTAACAATGAAAAGGAGACCGATGCCCTTGACGTATGCAGAGGCTGCTTTTCAGCATAACGCTGTGTTTGGAAGCAAAATACTGCATGTGCTCCCTACGCTCGAAGCTGGCCT